CTCTACTCCACCCATACATAGCAGCACCGTAGCTCCCGTAAGACGGTTGGCTTTAGACCTATGCTTTAGCGTGGGGTAGACAAGTGGATTTTTTTTCAACGCGCAGATAAACTGTGCCTCCTCCGACAAAAAAACCCACCCCTGAGGGGGTTTGAACTTTGGTCGGCAGGATGCAAAGCGCACGGCCACACCAATTGAGAATTTCAGATGGTGACTTCGACATCGGAGAGAAGGAGACTTTGTTCCCAGAGTCAAACAATTCATCTCAAATGGTCCAGCTTTATGCAAAGTAACTCAGACTATTGCAAGAATAATCGCGAGGTGTTGATGTCATGATCTAGGATTTGGGTAGTCGTTCAGTAGTTGGCTTATCTTCATCAGCCACAGGGCCCACAAAGTAAGGACAAACTTGTCCTGGATTTAAGGACCGCCATCACCGTGTGGAGTATATGTTAAGACGCAATTCGTTGGAGCACAAAAGACCGTAGGATAATCCTGTATTCATCCCAAGATCTTGCTCCACTTTCGGCTGTTAGCAGACACAAGCACTGTTGCTACAGTGTCAAAAGCAGCCGCTGCGGCTGGCTTCCAGAGCAACCGAACAAGCTGCACATTGTCCTCATTGATGACGGTGTGCAAACTTTGAAAATCTGCTGGGAGAAGTCACTGCAGGGGAGATCAGCAGATCAACAGAAAACCACGGCAGCCATCTTGATTTACTCGGCTTGGAATATCTGAAAGAGCGCAACCGGAGAACTTTCGATGGGACAACGAGAACACCGGCCCTAGTACTGGGGCTAATCAAGGAAAAGAGATGGGTCTCTTCAGTAAAGCTTTGGGGAAATTAGAGTTACCACCATGAGTATCCTCTTTCTTATCTCCATGCTTATGAGTTTGAGTGGTTTTAATAATGTAAGAACCAAATTGTTGTAACTGGTTTGCTTCCATCTTATATGATACAACAGTGCTCCTGCTAATTTTTCGGCCAGGGAAGTAACCATGACCGGAGTCCATCCATCTGTCCACTGACTGCCATGGCATGTTCGTTGTTATTCCTATTTCGGTTTGTATATACGAGACATGGCAATAGAAGTCCGTTGAATGGGCTTGGCCAAGAAGAATTTTATTAGATCAGCTGGTGGGAGCTGGGAGGTGGATGCCGCAAATCTGACCAAAACCGCCCTACGTGACGTCTCCCGGGCTTGTCATGACCACGTCATCGTTTAAACGCGTAGTGCAGGCCGGGCAAAAAGAAAATACTACACCAGTGCTAGCAGAAAGCTGGGGTCAGCATGTTTGATTTTATACTTCGATTCGAGGTCGAGGACACGGTTTGGGTGCTTGAAAGAATGGACTTGTAAACTTTTGGTTGGTTCCGCTAACTGAGCAAGCGTGCTTATCCTCCTCTCTACTTCAGCAGTGGTGTTGACGTAGCATATAAGACAAGTGGCCAGAAATCTATTCTGCGACTCTGCGAGGGGACACGAAAGGCGGCATTATGATCAGAATCGGTGCACATGAAAATAAAAATCTTGCATACGACGAAGGACAGAAACGATAACGCGACTAAAATGATGGAGACGATATCAAATATGCTCTTATATATTCTTCTAATTAGGCAGGAGACAGCCGAGGGTTGCTGTATTTTAGTGAAATTTTGGGTTGTTTTCTATTCTAAGGTTGTAGAATGAAACAAATAATACTTACGATATCAAATACACTTTCATTAGATACATTATGAGATGTATTTTTGTAATTTGCTCTCTTTACTATAGTACTCCGTAGATTCCAATACTCTTCTCTATAATTTTAATTAAATTGAAAATAATTTGAATTAGAATAACAAACAATATATTGTTTATTTTTAGTGATAACTGAAATAGCTTATCGGTTGCGGAAAGGCTACGTGTCGTGCGTCCGATGGACCGCACAAACGTCGGACGGCTTTTTCACCGTCGCCGCTGGCTCCCGCCCGCATGTATATTAAAAAAAACTTATCCCTTGGCTTCCTCCTCCCCATCCTTACCCCTTCCGTGCTCCTCACCCCCTGCCGCAGCGCACCAACGCCCGGCGTCCTCCCCCACCCCGGCGTCCTCACCGGGAGCCTTCTCCCCCGCCTCGGTGAGATCAGGCGGCCTTCTCCCCCGCCTCGGTGAGATCCACTCGCCTCCGTCGAGATCTATGGAGGTGGTGCGACGGTGTTGCACGGGAGTGGGCGGCTCTCCCCCGCCCCGACGCAGCGCCCTCCCCACCTCGGCGGCGCACTCTCACCACGACGACCGAGCTCCCCCCACCCCAGCGGCCATGGCGCTCCCCGCCCCATCCCCCACCGTCGCCGCCGAACCAAGCCCAGTGCCGACGCGCGCTGGTGATGGTGGTGCTCGTGCGTGCCGCTGGTGCTGGTGCTGGTGCTGGTGGTTGGGTGGTGCTCGCGCGCCGCCACTCGCAGCCGCCTCCCACCCCGTCGCCCGGCCCAGGCCTCTCTCCCCCTATGGTGCAAATGTATGTTTCAATTGTTTCAGACATTTCAGAGGCATGTTGCAATTGTTTCATAGGGATGTCACAAAAGTAGATCGCGGGATGTTGCATATGTTGCATACGTTGCAAGTGTTTCAGAGGCATGTTGCAAGCGTTTGTTCAAACTGTTTCATTTGTTTCCAGACGTATGTTGTAAGCGTTTTGATCTGGATGTTGCATATATTTTCACACAAATGTTGCAACAGTATGTTCCAAATATTTTATCTGTTTCAGTCTTCTGTTGCAGCAAGTGTTTTCATGTTGCAAGTGTTCTATCTGGATGTTGCATATGTTTTCACACATATGTTGCAAGTGTATATTCTAGATGTTTCATTTGTTTTAGATTATGTTGCACCCAAGTGTTTCATGTTGCACGCGTTTTTTGCTGCTCGAAGAGTCAGGGGGCGCCGGGGAATGGGGCGTGTGAGCCAATGGCCGGTGGACGTGGAGTGCGGCGCGCTGGGGGCCGGCGTTCAGGGGCACGACGGGGCGGTGGTGCGCCTGCTTGGGCGAGGCGAACAGATGGGGATGGGGGCGGGGCAAATGGATGGGGGATGGGGCCCGGGGTGGGGTGCACGGATGGGGACGGGTCAGGAGCCGGGGCAAGCGTCCGATGGATGTCTGTGTGCTAGCACTTCCCTGTGGGTTGAGTGCCCGTTATCTCTCCCCTTTCCTAAACTTTGCCTGTGTACAGTTGTAATTTTCTTTTGGCTCCAATGCAAGTGCATATGTACGTGTGGCATGACGTGTTGATTAAAAAAACTTATTTCAATTTCAAAACAAATACTTTCTTTCATAAGGGAGCAATAACAGCGATTGATTATGTAGGGTACGAGTATCACTCCTGGTTGTTCCACGTATTCATGTACACGTACACCTCCACTCGTACCGTAGATATGTTTAATTATTTTTATTGGTCCATTAATATATAAACTTCATATAGAGTGGCATTCCAAAATTCTGTCGTGAAAGTTACTTCCACATAACATAACTACTATTTTTAGAAAAAATAATAATGTATTTCTATATAGTTATTCTAGTCAACCATGAATGCTGATGTTTTTATCATTGTTCGTCTAAATGGTCTTTTATCCCATTTAAACTGTAGTGATTCTGTTTAAATTGCCATCTAAATAATGGTAAGGCCCTGTTTGGATTTTTTTTTGGAGTTTTTGAAAGTATACCATGGTTTTATGAAATATTTTGGTTTTAGAGTACCACGAAGTGTTTGGATGCAACAAATTTTATGGTTTTGAATACCATGATATTATTAAAACTGTAGTCATTTTCGAGTTTTACAAATTAAACTCCACTATAGATCTCTTTTTTCTAAACCATCGTTTTGCACATCAAAGGATTCAAAAACTGCAGTTTCTCGACACCATGATTTCTTAATACTACAACGTCATAAACGGTAATGTTACAGACTGTTTGGTGTTTAGCATTTAGGAAACTACCGGTTCCAATAGACTTACATACTACTCCCTCTGTCCCCTAAATAAATCAATTTCTAGAATTCGTGCAAGCCAAACTATTTTAAGTTTGACTAACTTTATAGAAACGAGTAACAACATCTATGATATAAAATGAACACATTATGAAAATATGTTCTATGATATATCTAATGATACTAATTTGATGTCATAAATCTTGATATTTTTTGTTTCTAGAAATTTGGTCAAACTTTAAAAGTTTGACTTAAGATAACTCTAAGAATCTATTTATTCAAGGACAGAGTGAGTATTACATTTATGATTACACAGGTAAGAGAAAAACATGTTTTAGAGGAGAAAGCTAGGATGTGAGAATATCTTGCAATCGAAATTGTCGGCTGTAGTTTTGGAAGTTCAAAGCAAAAACTCGTACTTCAAAGCATTATTACTATCTTTGCATTGAAAGCTAGAGTATGTAGGCACTCTTGAAGGTTTTGGAATTTGGAATTCGCATTTGAAAGTTTTGTTTGCAAAGGCAGTATTATTCAATCACGAGCATCATCGTCTCAAGGACCAATAATATGACAATTAGTTATTCAGCTTTGCTCCTATGCCAGAGGTTACAAAGTACACACATGTTTTTTGAGAACGTGCTGATCACATGCTTTTTTCATTAATATGAGGAGAGAGATAGTGTTACAAACTGACCGGAAGAAAAAGGTCACGTTCTTCTTCTTCCTTCAATTACTTCGTCCCGATCAAGCAGTAAAGCTTGCACTTGGCACCGTAGTAGTAGGAAGCTTGCAGCTGAAGTATGTACACACACACTACACAGACTGACGCATCCATGGATGCACTGCTTATGCTGTACCCTAGTCACACAGAACCAGAAGCAGCAAGTAGCGTAGTGTCTGCATGTGACTGTAACACCCGCTAAGTCACTGCACCGCACCGACGTGTGACACTGACACGACACCAGGTGGAATGCAGGGGACAGGGGTCACCTCCCTCCCAGATCAGAGATCACAGGAAACACCACCGGCGGCATCATCACATGATCGAGCAGCCGCTGGGGTCGCTGGCGTACTCGTGGTGCACCACCGTGTGCGTGTTGGCGGCCGCCGGGTGGTAGAAGTAGTCGTGCTGCTGGTACTGCGCCGGGTATCCCCCGCCGTGGTAGAGCGGCGGCGCCGGCGCGTACGCGGACCCGCCGGCGTAGTAGTGGTCCATGCCGCCGCCGTAGTAGTGGTCGCGCGCACCCGAGTGGTGGTGATGCTTGTAGGGGCTCGGGCTCGGGCTCGCGTGGTAGCGGTACGCGTGTTCGGCGGCGATGACGCGGCCGCCGACGAGGTCGTCCGCGACGGCGGCGGCTTCGACGGTCCGCAGCTCCACCACCTCGGCGTGGCCCACCTTGCGGCGCAGCTTCTTGGTGATGCGGTCCGAGTCGATGCCGACGCCGATCACCAGCAGCAGGTTCTTGTCCTCGCCGGCGATCGTCACCGACTCCACCCCTGCTCGACCCACCGATCAAAATCTGATATCATCTTTTTTCTTCTAAAAAAAACAAAAGGGGCCTAGGCCTAGGTGATTAAGACGGAAGCGACCAAAATCTGTTTACCTGAGATTGCAGCGGCCACCTTGATAGCTTTGCTGTGGCCCTTCTCAGAGACCGTCTGCACCCTTATGATCATCTCCTTCTGCAAATAAAGAGGTTTCCAACGATCAGTGGTTTTGAAGTCATGAAAAAGAAGCAAAACAACTTCACTAGTGGTTATTATCACAACACATGAAGTACGAGACCGGAACTAGCTATCAGGGATTTCTTACCCTCATTTCTCCTGACGTACGTATGTACGACTCAGGCGAGGAAACAAGCAAGCAAAGAGCCAAACACACTTGGCTCTTTCTGCAAGCTTGAGCAGGAGGCTCTCTGCCTTGGCTCTGACAGTAGTAGTGTGCACACTACCGCTGCTTCCTTTTTATAAACACGGGCGCAATTAGCAGAGACACCAGTTACAGCCAGTGGACTCGGTTAAATTAGTAACAATCTAAGTCGTCGCACTTAGCGCTGTTTAGTTCCACCCAAAACCCAAAATTTTTTGTGTAGTATCCATCACATCGAATCTTGCGGCACATGCATGGAGTACTAAATGTAGACGAAAAAAAAACTAATTACATAGTTGGGTGAGAAATCACGAGATAAAACTTTCGAACCTAATTAGTCCATAATTAGACACTAATTACCAAATACAAACGAAAGTGCTACCGTACCTAAAATCAAAATTTTTTGCCAACTAAACAGGCCCTTAGCCACGTACTGAAGGATTTCCCATTCCTATAGGGCCTGCAGAGAGCACAGGAGACAGTGACACAAAGACTTGACTAGGAAGACTTGGCTCGACAAGCTTCAAGTTAACCATAAGAGCAGGTATTGGATGCCACTTGCTTAATTATTATGGCGACGCCGACGCGTGATTTAAGGCTGGGTTTCCACGGGAGAATGGGCTGGAATTTCCGTTGCGGCCGGTGCAGCGGGCGACTTTGCTGGCCCGGCATTTGGAAGGACTCGGACTCGGGGTTAGAATAGTAGTACTGTGTACTGCCTGCCGCTGTCGTCCCGGCGGTTACACTACTGAATTAGTACTGATGATGTACAAGTGAGGGCAGTAAGTGTGGGTAATTCGGGGATCAGATGCAGATGGCGTGAAGAGGTTGCTTCTCTAATCTCTATTGGAGGAGGTCGCAACTTGCAAGTGGCAGCCGTTGGGTCGACGGATCAGCCGTGCAAACTACTACTTGTGACTAGTCGACAGCATCTCTGGTTTCTACTCCCTCCATTTCAAATTATAAGTCATTCTAAGAATCTTAGAGAATCAAAGCATCTCAAGTTTAGCTAAAATTATAGTGAGAATTATAAAGATTTATGACATTAAATAAACATACTCTAGCAGTTAATGGACTCGCTGAATTCCGAGATAGGATTACTACTAATAAGGTCCTTTTTAACTGGGCTTGGAGTTCTAAAAAAACGTACAAATCAGAAAAAAGCCACGTTTTGATAATTTCAGCTTCTACCTCCAAAAACAGCTTTGTTGCAGCGGCTGGGCTTTTTTGCTCTCAGCAAAACACTGTACGCTGCAGCAATAACGGCTTCTTCTTGCTGCCGAACACAACTCTTGCTTTTTTCGCTTCAGAAGCTGTTCACATGCGTGCTTGTTTGGTAAGACTTTTAATTAAGCCGGTGAAGAAGACCATATAAGAGACATGCCAAAGAAGACCTAAACAATGGATCATCGAAATTCAGAAGGAAGATGATGCTAAGATTTCTGGAGCGTTTGGTTCTCATTTAAGATGAGGTGATGCATCATGAATTTATCTCTCAAAATTAATGAAATGACTTATTTTCCATACTAACACTAACTACTAGCCTGTGAGGAATAAGTTGGTGATGTGGATCAACTCATCCATTCGATAAACCAAACAAAAAACTAAAGAGTGAGATGATGATGGACTATTTGGTTCCACAAACCAAATATTACCCCTTTGTGACTATTGTGTCGTCCTCATAAAATGGTGAGCATAGCCTCAATGTGTCCTGAAATGTATTCATGGATTAAAGACCAAATTCAAGCCTTCAGTTTCGTAGTTGAAATTCAAATTTTGTTTATTTTTTGATATCCAAAATTCATAGTTCCCTTTTTTTAGAAGATTTTTTTTTCACAACTGCTTAGGAGGCGGTTATAGCCCAACCAATATCTGAAAAACGAACCAAAGGAGGCAAAGCCTAGCCCAAATTCATGAGTTTTTCTTTTTAGTGGAGCCCAAATTCATGAGTGAAGTTCCGTATTCCAATATTATATGGGTCAAAAGCCCATCTGGTCAGTACCCTAGCGCCGGAGAAGACCTTTTGAGTTTATGAAAAAGTGGGCCAAAATTAAAACAACAAAAACATAGGGCCATAAATGGACAACCCTAAAAAAGCTAAATGGACGATCTAAAAAAAAGCTAAATGGACGAATTCCACCAAAACTAAGTTCAATCAAACAACATGCAGTGCTTAAAACCAACTTAGAACCACTAAGGTCTGTTTGGTTTCATGGGATTAATTCATGGATGAAAGATGATGGCACATATTTTGAAAGCGTTTGGTTTATGGGCAAGTTGGACGGGACGACCACCAAAAGGAAAATATTCTCTGTATCATGGAATACATCATGATTTATGTTAAAATATATGTTAATAATTATTCATGATTATTTCATAGGTTGCGATATGTAATACTAAAATTAAGAATTTAGATATATAAATTTAAGGGATTACTTAAATTATTTATCATAATGGCATGGTGGTAGTTCAGATGCAAATTTAGGGGCTACTTTATATTATGTTTTATAATGGCATGAGTGATTAATTTAGATATAAATTAGGGGGCTCATTTATATTTTTTTTATAATGACAAATATGATTTTTTTAGAAAATAAAATAGATCTTGTAGCTTTTATTATCAATGGTGAATCGGTGATTACAACTTACCGAACTAATATCTAGTTTTTTTATTTCTTTGAGAATTTTTAGGATATACCTTTTTCTACTATTTTTATGAAGATTATCATGGAAACTTTGTTGGAGTCTTTAATTAGTAATATTAAGATAGCGTTGAAGAGTAAATTGATCTCACACTCAAGTCTCCAAGAGCCTCTCTATATCCTTCTTAATTGCTAAGAATAAAGATTTTGGTGAAAAAAACTAGAGAGTGAATTTAGAAAACGAGAATAAATCTGTAGAGTGCAAACAAGATATAGAAAACCTAGAGTTAAAAGATATAAAAAGCGTTTTTTATACAAATAGCTCTCTAAATGATGATTTAGAGAGTGAATTTAGAAAACCTCTTGGAGATGCTCGGGTTGTGCCTTTGTTGTTTGAAGTGAACAAGTATTATGATGATTATGATAAAAATAATTAGAAATTACAAAGTTTTTTTTGTACAAAAGAAAGAACAAGATTACAAAACACTCTAGCCAATGCTCCATTGCTGACAAGAATGTCCTGAAATATCAGAATGTCAAGCAAACCAAGTTGATTGATCAGGTAGACTTTTTCTCCCTCTAGGTCGAAGAGATCGAAACTATCACTCGATCGATCCGTGCCCTACATGATGGCGCACCACGGATCCTCGTCGGCGCAAGGGTCTTCGACGGGGTAGCAGTGGCCGTTGTACGGGTGGACGACGCCCGGCCCTTCTGGGCAGTAGTAGCCGGAATGGTAGTGGTACCACTGCGGCGGCCACCCGGCCACGGGATTAGGATCGGTACTGCTGGCGGCCGTCTCGGCCGCTGGCTTCGTCTTCGCCGCCTCGTCGACGACCGCCTCCACCTTCACGATGTCCGCCCTGCCCACCTTCACCTTCTTCCGCAGGCAGCTCGTCAGGCTGGTGGCGTCCACACCGTCGCCGACCACCACGAGCTGGTCCTGCTCCTCCCCCTCGATCCCCACGGATTGCACTCCTGCAACCACGTACCCCGGCACAGTACATATCGATACGATCAGTTGCTCTGCAGTACTCGTCCTCAGGGATGACGAGCCAGTCGGTCAGATTGAGATACGCAGATGGGTCACTTGCAGGAGACTGTATAACCACTACTCCAGTAGGCAGTGCTTACCATATGTCGAGCCAGCTAGAGCCAGAGCATTTTTTCGGCACTTGTCACAGGTCATCTGCACCTTGATCACAATTCTTTGCTGAAAAAAGGAAAAATTGCGCAAGAATGTGTTTCAGTTGGAGGCACAAAAAAGGAGTTCCTGGCAGAAAAAAATTGTTACCTTCATATTATTGTTACTCTGTTGACTGTTGCTGATTTCCAATGTGAGTTTGTCTGTGGTCTGACAACTCGGAAACTTGAAGGAGCTCAGAGTTTGTTGTGGGAAGAGAGGACCCCTTATCCAACTTATATACAACTAGGATTAGGACAGCTAACGTAGGCCCGAGGAATGTACTTTACGTCCCCACTAAGAGTAATACCCAGTGCTAAGAAGATTCCAGGCAATTTAATTTGTCTACTAGAAGACATCAACCAAATTAAACAACCGATTAGCCTTTCTATACATGCCGTGGTGCTAAGCTTAGTTTAAAAAATGACGTTGAGGAACTCTTTCTTGGTCACTGCACTTTTCTGAACGCGTGTTTGATTACTTTCAATGGAATAGTAGGGCTAATCGTTGATTCTTTGGTTTGCAATGAGGTGTATGTTGTGGAATTTGGTGCATGTAGGTGTGTTTAAATAAACCTTGGCGCTTGACTACGACTTGAATGTTTGACATGTTAGCTGAGATATTATAATTGTAGGTGTGGAGCTTCAGAAACAGAAAGAAAGAAACAGGTGGTACCGTAGGCTAGACACTGGATTCATGACAGTTAATTTGTCATGACGTGATTATAATTATGTTGTTTTAACTGCAATATCTGGTACAGCACGGTACTACTAAAGCAACACTGATTGTGCATGAGGATTTCTTTCAAATAAAATTTGCAGCTGAGGTCGTTTCAGTATTCGATCTCTCGGTCTCCGCCAGAGCAACCCATTGTTCACCAGAAATCCTATTCATTCGTGACCACATAGGAAGTTGGCAACAAGGAACTTACGAGGAAAGAACTTAAAGCAAAGTGAAGAATTATTACCTTTTTACACGTACTCATGGAGCAATTAGACGCGCCTTCTTTTTCCCCATGAAACCAAATCTACAGCACTGAGCTCTTCATTATTAGTGCGCTAAGCACGCTTTCTGTTAGCGCTTAGGTGCCGTGAAATGTACAAAGTTACTTTCAAAAGCTGCACTGCACAATCTGAACATGTTAACCGAGGTGTAAACCCGTTCGTTCCAAAGCGATCCTTACTTACATTGAATTCCACTTGCAATGTTAATTAAATTACTTGACCGTGAATTAGTCTTGCTCGTTTCATTCTGTCTTGAAGTAGATATGTATGATGGTGATTTGGTCAACACCCGATCCTCAAAAGGCACATGACCCTGAGCCCCTGAGCTTATACGACCATTTTGTAATAATGATTGAAATTTCTAGTGAGCTGTATCTTTCAATCTAGGAGTATTTGGCAACCACACGTTGCTTCGGTCAGTCTTATTAGAAAGTAGGACGATTGCGAAGTGAAACATTTCACTATAATATATGGGAAGAAGTTGTTGTTTCAGAGAAAACAGAAAAGGAACTGTGTGTACATCTGATTTCGGTTTTAGATATTTGGTAATAAAAGAAATGGAAGGAGGGCAGTTAGTTACTAAGAACAATTTTAATATTTCTTTTTCTTACGCCTCCAGAAACTCCAGACGTCTCCATCGCTGTTCAGTTTCGTGAAACATTCACGGAACCCTTGTCTTCAGCCAAACGCAAAACAACGAGGGAGCTCTTCCCCTCCAAGCGTCGGGACTGTCCGAGGGCAGGTCCTAACTGAAGCGCTCAAGTGTGCCAAGTCGCAGGCCACTGCCTTCTAGCCAGAGCAAGCTCCTCGGTCGCAAAATTAATTTCTTAGTTATAAACGGCGTGCGTTCCACCACCTAGCGGTGCTTTTTGTTCATGTTCTACCCCATCACTAACGGCACCTCGCTATGATGTGATGTCGGGCGTGTATGTTTCCTAACTTCTTCTTAATGAAACACATGCTAAGCACGTTTTCGAAAAAAATATTTTTTTTTTCTTAAAACGTTCAGACATATTCTACTAAAATCATTTGCAAATGGAACATTCAAATAAAATCTAGGAAGTATCCCCAAAGAGAATAAGTCATGTGAAAAAGTAGCATGTAACAATCTTATTATTACTAACTAGAGGCTCTCAATAATGTCTTCATGTTAATCCTCACGAGACATGCTCGAAAAATAAATAAATTTCAAGAAATTCTCATAAAAAACAATTCTTAGACTTAATCAATATTGATGATAATAAATCTATTTTGATTTTAAAAGGTCACCCCATTTCCATTATAAAGAAACACAAAATAGCGTCTAAAATTGCATATAAATTATCCGCCTATGCCATTATGAATCATAATTTTTTTAAAAAATAAAATATATTAATATCACAGCTTCTGCATTGATCAATGCATATGGCCGTTTCTTATGAAACATAATCTAAAATAACATCTAAAATTTGCATCTAGATTACCCAACTTCTCATTATGATAGATAATCTAAGTAAGTGCATCTCCAAGAGTTCCCAAAATACTCTCCCAATATCTGATTTTTTTTGGAAAGATTTGAAATAAACACATCTCCAACAATTCATAATCTCACATCCCAGTCTTTTAGCACTTAAAAAAAAACCCCACCCTCCCGCGCGTAAAGATATGCGTGACTGCGCGTCTGCGTATCCTCCTCCCACGCGGTTTTGCGATCTGTTGGAGCGAAGACGATGGCGCCGGCATGGAGCAGGCGGTGGACGCACTACGGCCGCCCCTGCCTGGCCACCAGGTGAAGCGGTGTGGCGCCGTGCCCGTGCTCGTCCCTCACGTTCACGAACCGCGCGAAGCCCCTGCAAGCAAGCAAGCTGGCGGCCATGTCGATCTGTCCTGTCGCTAGATTACCATGAGTCGGCCACCGGTGTGGTCTTGGCAGCAGAGAGGATGACTCGGAGGCAGTGGGAATGGCCATAGTATAGTAGGCCGCGTGGTGGAGGCATGTCCGTGCGTCTAGCAGCCTGAGCATGCAATCCGTTCCGCCGTGCATGGCCGCCAGCATCAACAGGGTCTGCCTCTCTGACGGCAGGTGGCCCTGCTGGCTGCTCTAGTAACTGGGAACGGGCACAAGGCAGCAAGGCGACGATCGATCCCAATTTTTTTTTTTGCAATTTGGTCCTTTTTTTTAAAGAAAATTTACGTTTTATCCCCTGTGAGACATAAACTCATCTTTGGACCCTGGGGGTCGGCACCAGGACTCATGACTCCGAGGTAACATGTCTCAGCGCTACAGATCTTGGCTCCGAGGCGTTTGGCCGTGCACAGCAGGACATCCTAGGTGACGTTAACGTGGCCGGTACCTCGGAGCTCAACGCCATCGGCTCCGAGGTCGGAGCCATGGATCCTGGTGCCGAGCATGAATTCAAAACCTAGGGCCAAGTTTAGAACAGTTAAACAAGCGAGGAGAGGATGAGATCGATACATGGGCTTGGGCTTGGATGGCGGGGGCGTGGAAGGAGTCGAGCGCGGAGGCGGCCGCGCAGGCAGCAGCCAGGAGGACGCCGGCCGTTGTCGCCGCGGCCAACAGGCGCTGCATCCAACTGTGCATCGCTTTCGACCCCACCTTTTCCCCCCTTTTTCGGAACTACTATTATGTTTATTAATGTTTTTCCTCCAATTTTTATCTGGGGCTGTTTATGGCGTGATGACGCCACACGTGTCAGTGTGTGAGCTCTGGCAACAGTTCGATTGGAAATCGATGGCTGGCCAAGGGCTGTGATGTACAGAGGTTCTACAACTGCCGTTGTAAAGCACGGAGTACGCATTACCCGTGTACGAGTTGGCACTAATACGTTGATTTCCCTTCCTGATCTTCTGAAATGGTCTTCCGCGATGGCATTCCCAAGATGTTGGGGGCCTGGGAACGGGAGTGGTCTCGGTGACTTGCGAGTGGTCCCTGTGATGTGATGCGACATGAAAACTGAAGTACTATATTATAGTACAGTGCCATATAGGCCCCGTTCGCTTGTCTGGAAAAAAAAACAAAACACTGTAGCGACTGGTTGTGTGAGAGAGAAATACTGTAGCGGCTGGTTGATGAATAGTGCCGCTGTAAGGAGAAATCAGCCTGGCTGGTCTGGAAACCAGCCAGGCGAACGGCATCATAAAAAGTCAGCTCTCCGATAGAATTCTGCATCTCCTGTCTCCTTGTTTACAGGTACCTTGTCAAATGTCAACGCATTCGTGGAAAGCACTGTTCGATTGGCTGGTTCGTGTCGTTGCTGGTTCGTAAAGAAGTACTGCTGACTGGTTTGTGTGAGAGAAAAATACTATTCCGACTAAAAATTTACGCCGCAGCCAAACGAACAGGCTGGCCTGGTTTCGAGAACATTGCGCCGTGCTCCAACGGGAAATTTCCCTATCAGCGTACCAGCAGCACGATAGGAGTATACTATGGCACTAGGGCCTAGGAGCTAGGCCATATGCCGGCATATGATGCACCATCTTTTTCTTTGCGAGTCCATACGGGACGGGCCACGGCAGACGGGCCTCAACATCTTCAGTAGCACAACAGAATCTCTTCTCAGTGGCCTAAATCCGGCAAGCGTACTCTTTTGTCAAATCTGAATCCACCCTCCCTCAAAAGAAAGAAAATACTCCAAGAAGGAAGAAGATCGATCCATCCTCCTCACTGATATCTCCCTCCCTCCCAAAGCTGCAAAAAAGAGGGGATAAACATCGAGAAATATCACCGATAGTGCAGCGTGGCAGCGTTAATGCTGATCTTTTCAGAAGCTTATCACAGGAGTGAAAGCAAAGCAAACCACCTACTACACCTGACAGGCACAGCGGGTCAAAGACGGAGGAGATTCATGACGGAACCAGACAGCCATGAATGATTGATTCCACACCACAACTCCACAAGCACAACGCACACGCTGTAAAATAACGTCAATAATGCAGGCAGCACCGTAGCAGGCAGGCCTCCTCTCGTCGTCCCGTTCTCCCAAGTCCCACCCATCATCGTCCAACTTGGCTGGCCACGGGCGGGCCTCCGGTCTTTTGACCCCGGGGTCGGGGTCACAGCGTCAGCGTCTCAGCGAGAGCGAGCGAGGTGGTCAGTGCTCACTGTCACTGGCT